TATCAGATAAAACATTGACCTTCCCACAACAAACCAACATAAAACTGAATACCTCAAGACAGGATTTCAGTGTTTTAATTGTCTGTCTCAGTTCATGTTTAAAATTAATGACAGAACAAACAGAGTCTCCAATTGTGAAAGGGCAGCATGATCATTTATTTTCAATGCCTACAGGTCCATTACAGACCTCAGCAGAAACCACTTTATTTTCTCTCTGCTTACACACCGTGCTGAAAATGACTCCCTAATCTTCAGGCATGCCACTGTAGTGAGTAGTGCTCCTGAAGGCAACTCAAGGCCTGACTCCTCCCCCAAACACCCCCCTCATTAGAGCAGGGTATAAAAGGCACCTGGGTCCCTTGGCTCTCCTTTCATGGTCGGTGGTACAGATGCAGCATAACTAAAATGTAGGATACTTTGTCTCGTTTCTTCTAGTATTTTATGCTTACTTGCTGCTTCCTTGCAGATTCCTGAAGCTCAGCAAGGTTCTAAAACCTCATCCTGTGGTGAGTAGGGCAGAACCTGAATTGTTTGTATGCCACATGGAGAGCCATTTGTAACCTTCATTTAACTATTGCTTTTAGGTTCACCTGCTGCTGTTTTGTTCTCTTGACTTAGTTATTTTTGTTTATGTCGTTAACAAATGTTGTTTTGCTTAGTTTTGCATTTGTCTTAAACTTATACTTTTCCTGTTTATCAGTACTTAACCAACTGGGATCATTTTTGTTTAACCTTGTTTCAGTTGTTTGTTTTTATTTTTAGTCGAGCTGATTGCCGGTCATTGGGGGGGGGGCTAGTCACCCTCACGGTTTTTTGTGGTGAAGAGCACCGGGGAGCACGCATGAGTGACCTGTTTGCTGTGTGTGGTTTGCTGTGACTGCACCAGAGGTCTGTACTACGAAGCCGGTTCAACCTAACCTGGATATGTTTGAGTTAGCCGGTTGGCCTAATCCAAAACACACACACTCTCGCTAAATGGTCCTACGACGCGGATTATCAAGTGGATCGCTCAAACCAGCCGTGTCCTATAGTTAGGTGCGTGTTCACATGAAAGGGGTGGTATTTGGAGCATTCGACCAATCACAAACATGGACAAGCGTACTGACAGCGCAGCGTGTCATACTTCCTGAATGAAAAGTCAACTATAATATTAGACATATGAAGAAGTTGACCTGTTAAAGGTGGGGTAGGTAAGTTTGAGAAACCGGCTCGAGATACACTTTTTGTTATATTCCATGGAATGCTCTTAACATCCCGATAGCAATGAATATCTTAAGTGCTTTAACAAAAAATCCATAAAAAAATGTCATCTGTGGAAGCCATAGTACTGTAAAAAGTACAACCAATCCGTTTAGCCGAACGGATTGGATTGCCACCCTGTCTGTCAGCCTTCCATCTCGTGCACGCACAAATGTATCTCGTGCCCTCATTGGGCGTGCATTACTCGCCAGCAACAGGCAGCCACTTTCACCAGTCTGCTGACGTCATGTGCGAATTCATGTGTGTTGGAGGAGGTGCTCTGTAAGGAAGTCTGAAGGAAGGGGCGGATTCTTTTTGGCTGTGTACTTTCAAATTTTAGTGCACTCGAGCCGGTTTCTGAAACTTACCTACCCCACCTTTAAGCCACAAGCCTGTTTTTCAGGTCTCAGGCTCGAAAATGACATTTCCAGAACAAATGACCATATAACTACACTTCTAAAAGGGGAAAATTAATAATATTTTTTCTCAAAGTAATGATAAACCTGTGAGTTGGATGTAGAACAGTCAGAATCAATATAGATGTTTTTTATTTTAAAGAAAATTCAGATTGAACATAGTAAAAATCTGTAAATGATAGTGTCCGTCCAAAAATTATTTTTTACTTATAGTGAAAACTACCCTTGGATGATGGGTTAGTAGACTAAAAGCTTTAGGAATCCAAAGTACAACATATAATATATGCCACGTGTTGTGATGTCCGTTTTTGTTTCTAATGTCACGAGTTCTGATCATGGAGTGATGCTATAGATAATTATCGATTCTGTGTATTCTCACGATGCTTATCGATATGTTAAATGTGCAGTTACGATAAGTAATAAGGGTGTTATACCGTGAGTTCTGTGCTAACAGCGTTAGCATTTTTTCGCTCAGGGCTAATTAATGTCTGCTATTTCTGTGGCGGCGCTCATGCCAGGAGCACCTGCCCCCACAACCCAACCACACCAGCAGATTAGCTAGAACGGTACCTCAGCACACCCGTTATGGTAAATGACCTAGCTACTGCATTACAAAATCATCCTGATAGACAGTTTGTACTTTCTCATCAATGGCTTCACTCACGGTTTCCACCCAGGTATAGAAATACTCACTAACAAATCTCACATCTGCCACAACCTTCAGTCCGCTTTAAAAGAACCTCACACTGTCGACATCTTACTGGCTAAAGAAATCAAAGAAGGATTCATGATTCGATAATCCTCCCTTTCCTGTGTTTCGCATCAGTCCAATAGGTATCTCTACTCGGAAATACTTCGGAAAAAAGAGGTTCATAATAGACCCGTCTTCTCCACACGGCTCAACCATCTCGAGCATTGATAGCGTCATTCCAAGCCCTGATTTTTCGATGCAATATGCAAACATCGACCACAACCTCACCCTCATCCGCTCAGCAGACCGAGGAGCATGGCTCTCTAAAGCAGACATCACCAGTGCATTCAAAATATTGCCTATTCCCCCAGACTTCTGGCATTTCTTCGGAGTGTACTACTTCTCGGTACGTCTCACATTTGGCAGTCCCAAAATGTTCGATCCTCTTTCAGAAGCTCTGTGCTGGTATAACAGACAGGCCTGCTAACATTGAATTTATCTAAAAGGTTCGGATTCCTGGCCACACCAACACAGCGAGAATGACACCAAGATAAGTATACAATTATTTTATTTTTTTACAAAATCACTTTAAAAACACCTCGTTAATAAATATTTAAATAACATACGGTTAAAATAATGTTCAACTCGTCTAAGCAATAGTTCAGGGGAGATGTTTCAAAATACCAATAGTCCAGCCCACTTAATGACGACCCTCTGGTCATTGAGCCCTCGGTACACAGAAAGGGCACTCAGGGTAAACCAAATTAACTTCAATGACATAAAACACAAGCTCAATGAGGAGGAAATAATCACTTCCCTTAGCTTGGAGTTCAGCGAGCGTTGAAACAATGATGGTTGGAGGCTGCTTCACCAGGGCGAGAGGAGGAAGGTCTGGTTCACCAGACGTGGGTCAGTTTGTGGCGAGGAGCAAGAGGGATCCGATCCGGTCCGATCTGCGACATGACAAGTTAGCAACTGTCGAGAAAAAACATTGAGACTTCCAGCAGGTAATCTGGCGTTTTTATAGGTGAGTGGAGTCGGCAACTGGCGAATGAGATCGGTGATTTTAACTGGGTTCAGGTGTGTCAATTAGCAACGTGTCTGTGTGTCTTTGTCAGGACAGTTCGTGGAGGAGGTTAAGGAAGCATGCAAATATTTATACACAACAAGAGTTAATCGCTATGATAGCGCACAACAACATTAAAATCACGATATATAACATGTAACAGTCACAAAAAGGTTTAAACATACATCCCACTGTCTTACAAGATGGCTTTATGCACTTTATGACACTGGATTCTGACAAACAATCACAGACTCCCCTACGTGCTCGATCTGCTCGACGATTTTCTCGTCATCACTCCACCATCCTCTCCCCCTCGTGATGGGCTTAATACACTCGTACAAAAAAGTTCCAACCTTGGCATCCCTTTGTCCGAAGAAGAGGTCTAGAACCTCCATCGAGTTCTTAGGCATCATCCTGGACTCAATGTACTTCCAGGCTTCTCTACCCTCGCAGAAAACGCATCACTCTTCTCCTGTCCAATTACATGCAGGCACACAGATGCACGAAACGTCACCCGTTAGCCCTCCTCGGCCACCTAAATTACGCCATTCGCATAATACCACGAGCAAAACCTTTCTTGTCAAACCTGCTGAACAAAGCTGCCTCCGTCCCCTCCATCAACGATCGATACATTTTTAGACAATGCATGCAAAATGGAAATGCATCTCTGGTAAGATTTGTTGTCTCCATGGAATGGCATCTCCTTCTTTTATGACGAATTCAACAATACACCTGAGGATATTCAACTCTTCCCGGATGCAGCACCCTCCATAGGTTTTGACCGCAACTATGCAGGGAGATGGTTCTCTTCCGCCTGTTACCCAGAGTTCATAGCTCTCAATTCACCTCTCGCCTCAACTCCTATCTCAGACCATACCAGCCTCTAACAAAATAACTCAGCGTCAGGTACACTGGCCACGCAACGCCTGAAACATCCACTCTTTCTCACCCGAACAGGAAAAAAGGCCACACGTTTGTTGTTCCAGAAACACTTTCAAAACATTCTGCATATTTTGGGGATATTCTCAGAACATTATTCGAGCCATTCCTACCGCATTGGCGCAGCAGTCCACAGCAGCGAGACATATCCGATCAAACCATCCAGGTCCTCGGTCGCTGGTCATCCCAAGCATATTGTACATTGTATTTTTGTAACTCTGGCACAACAATTTCCTTCGCGAGTAAATCAAGTCTTATCTTATCATACCACTTTTACATCCGCAACAATCTAAACAATCTCAGACATGCACACGCTCAACTAAGCTCCATTTAATCAGACTCTTTTGGGGCCCGTAATCAGCCCGAGCAAAATCATGCCGGAGATGGAACTCCCATTCTGAGTCTCCTTCTGCAAAGACCATAGCACATCCTCCCAGACCAGACCAACATACCTACAAAATAGTCTCATGTCGGTCACTTCAGGTTTATAGAGTACCCTATGATAATGTGCATTCACATTATAACTATTTCAACATGAAAACTTTCAATTCTGTTGATTCAGCGAAAAGCGCACTGTTTATGGGATAACGCCTTTTTACATTACAAGATACTCAGGCCAAAAAAAGCAGAAGTAGATTAAGGAAGGAAACACAGAGACAGAAATGGGGAAGCACGGAGTGCACAAAACTCAGAATCGTATTCAAGCTGAACACAACATCAAGACACAGATTTAAAGGTAAGATTGGCATAAGAATTTACATTTTCTATTACATGTAAACTTTTTTTTCGATAACCTTCTCCAACTTTGTTTGTGTGAGCAGTCCAAGGTAATCCAGATGGAAATACTTGGTCGTTTTTGGAAGACACTATCAACTCAAAAGTGCCCTTTTATTAGGAACAAAAAACAATGTGTTTTTTCATGATGTCTTTTGTCTTTTAATTAGATGGTGTGTTTGCTGGTGTTGCTGATGTTAGCATCATGTGCTGCGAGTCCTCAAGGTAAAACATAATCTTCATTTAAAAGATGGAATGCCAAAAGTCAATATAGGTGTTTGTAGCACTCAAATCAAGTTTTATTTATATAGCACATTTATAAACTTTTTTGGTCGAGCCAAAGTGTTGTACATATAATAAAAATAGCCTACAGTAGAGACACTTTACAGCTAATACAATAGCACAGATTGTTCAGAATATCAGTATGAGAAAAAAACGACACCCTCTATCCTTAGACCCTCACAGCGTACAAGGAAAAACTTCTGGAGAAAAACCACAGTTTAGAGGGAAAAAATGGGAGAAACCTCAGGGAGAGCAACAGAGGAGGGATCCCTCTCCCAGGACGGACAGACGTGCAATAGATGCCGTGTGTAAATCGAAGAGATAATACATTTTACAGTATAGGTAGACCAAATGTTTGGAAATGCATGTGTCTGTAATAAGAAGTTGAATCCACGAAGATTTCAACTACAATCCTGTGGGAGCCTTCAGGGAGGCAGCAAGACGAGACCCAGGCAGGACCGCAGGGACAGGTTCAGCCACGACCAGAAGTCCACGACTTAATCCAGAACTCAGGATAGAGGATCTAGGACACAGGACCACAGCAGGAGGATCAGCCTCGACTCCGGATCCCGGCATAGATATAGACACAAAACAAGAAAAAATGTGGCTGGGTTAATCGGAACAAGAGAATACACAGACACAGACACAGACACAGACAGACAGACAGACAGACAGACAGACAGACAGACAGACAGACAGACAGACGGAAGAACAAACACTCCCTTAAAATAGATTGAGGGCAAAGGATAGCAAGTAAGAGAGTAAGAAACATAGGTGGAGAGGCACACTCAGGGAACAAGGTCCCCACTGGAGCCTTAGTTGGAAATTGATGAGAGATAGGGAGGTACGCTGTGTCTACGAATTGTAACACTCCCCGGCCTGTCTAAGCCACTCTACAAACCGTTTCCCTCTAATAAAACTCGAAAGGTTAGAGAGGGAAAAGGTCTTGGGTAAAAGTTATTCTTGATAAGAGAAGCCTAGAAGGCCAGAGAGAAAAAGTTAGTTTTAAGTGTTGATTTAAAAAACCCCAGGGTCTGGGCCGACCTCACATAGAGGGGCAAAGTATTACAGAGCCTGGGGCCCGCTAAATACAATAATAATAATAATAATAATAGATTTAATTTGTTAGCGCTTTTACAGGTGCTCAAAGACGCTTTACAGATATAGTGAAGGGAAAAGGAAGGAACAACAAATAAATATATAGTTAAAGTCAAATAATACAAAAACAATCACACATTAAAAGCCAGATTGAAGAGGTGTTGGTATGGTATGGTGGTAATGGTATTATGATTTCACAACTGACTTTCAATCAGGAACAAATTACTCCATTTACCTTATATAAACGAGTGAAACAGAAATAGAAACTGGATGAGACAATAAGCAAACCAAAAAGCTAAGTGGAGTTTCAAAAAGGCTTTTATGAACCATTAATGTCTAAAACTGTCGTCCTACTGTCAGTTGGCGATTTCACATATGAATGCAGAATCTGTTTATAATCTTTAGCGTACCATTAGTAGTGGCTCTCTTTGTATAGTTTTTTCCTAGGTTTTCAAGCATCTAAAATGTACTTTCTCAAAGTTGCCTAATTTTTTTATGATGCAATCGTCCTGATTTATTGTAGGGTTTATTAAATTCATCCAATGTTATGGTGAGAACAATTTATGTATTAAAGTATTTAAACTGATAATGTATAATGTACTTAGTCAACTTATATCTTTAACTTCTTGCTGGAAAAGATACAAAAAAACAAGTAATTCTAAGTTTACTCCCTCTGTTAGATCTTTCAGGTAAAATGTTTACCTTCCCACAACAAACCAACATGGCTCGTGTGACGCTGACAACATCAACTGTGAGCTTTAACGCTGCAACCGTCTGTCACAGGTAACAGTGAATTAGCAAAATGCATTGCATAAAACAATCCACTGAGTCTTTGACTGTGAAATATATGATGCATTTCGCTGTAAATTACTGCTTTATTTTATTGCCATCTAACTATATTTGATTAGTGTCCTTAAATATTGTTTGTTTTATATTAGACTTTTTGTTTTATATGGAGATTTTTTGTTTTATATTTTATGTATGCACCATGACATCAAGTCAAATTCCTCGTATGTGTAAACCTACCTGGCAATAAACCCGTTTCTGATTCTGATGTCCATGTAATGCCCACAGGTCCTTCACAGACCTCAAAAGAGACCACATCCTTTTCTCTATGGCAACACAGACTAATTCCAATGCCTTCCTGGTTTTCTGGGATTCTACAAACAAGGAGATGGAGCCTCATATCAAGGATGCAAAGAAAGAATATGGAGGGTGTGATTACAAGCCAGGCATGTGGCACTCTATTTGTTCCACATGGGACTCTGTGACTGGACTAGTGCAGGTATGGTGTGATGGACGACCTTCCAGTAGGATGTTTGTCACCAGTGGACCAATCAGTGGACGCACAATAACTATTTTAGGACAGGTACGGTTAATTTTCTTTAAAGTAATACTGTATATCCTAATGTTTGACTTGTTGTGGTTCTCTAGTCTATAGAGTTCAACTGAAATATTGTACAATTTAGCTTTAATCGACTGTCTCTCAAACCTCTATAATTTGCAGGAGCAGGATTCCCATGGTGGGGGGTTTGACGCAAAGCAGTCTTTTGTTGGCATGATGTCTGATGTCCACATGTGGGACTACACCCTCTCCGCCTGTGAGATCCAGAAGTACGTGGATGAACTAAACTTCACTCCGGGGAATGTGCTCAACTGGAGCGCGCTGGATTTCCAGATCACAGGAAGAGTGCTGACAGAAGACAAACAAATGACCTGTCACTAAACTTGTAAAGTTTGAAAAAGTGAATGCTTTAATTTCTGATTAAAACTAATGAAGTCAGCATGTTAAAGAGTTTTTGATGGTTCAGATCAATTTTTTCCTGCCTGTGCTAGACTGAGCAAAACATTACTCCAAGGTTCAGCTCCACAAGGTCTGTGTAGTCTAGAGTTACCCAAACCATGTTTCTTTTGACACCATATTTTTCAATAAATGTGTTCTACAAAAGTGTTGCTTCATTTCCTGTGTAGAGATAATGAATGATTATTCTGACCCCCAGAAACACATATAGGGCTCAAGGAAGAAATTAACCCAAATGCACAAATTATAAGCAAGTTAAAGTAAAAGGTATGTCAATCAATGTTTATTTATATAGCCTAATATCACAAATGTTACATTTGTCTCAGTGGTCATCACAGTGTGTACAGAATATCAGTATGACAACACGACACCCTCTGTCCTTAGTATGTTTACTTTGTCGTTGAACACTTAAGTGCTTTGTCACAGGAAAACAAAAGGACGTGGTCATGAGAAATATGTTTGGGTGCTAAAGGCAGGGAACACAGTTACAGGGGCCTTACTGTAGATGAGGATGTAACAGGAAGAATGTGGTTTGGAGGTCACGTGACACGCAAGACTGGAAGAAAACCAGCAGATTGGCAACTGATTAAAAAGTTACAAATAAACTGACATGCTTGTGTTAAGACTTAAAAAGACTACAAACCTTTGGAAAAGTAAAGATGTTTTGTTTAACATTTGTCATTTGTCTAAGATTGCGTATGTCTTTCAACAACGAACATTTCAAAAGGCCATATTGATTATTTCCAAAATATCATATTCAGAAACAGTTCTCAATTGAAAGTCAATCTGCCATTGACTTTTCTTGATAACTTTTCTTGCTAAATGACCACGTGTGTACAATGCATGTGGTGATATTCAAACAGAGAGTAATCAGGTCATCTTTACCCAGACATTTAAACAAACTACCACTTGGCCCACAGCACATGTTTTGTAAAGTTCAGTGTTACTCCCCACTACTACTTATTTCGGTTTTTAAAATAAAGGCAGAGATGCTGCTCCATGACTACCCTGACAACTTCATATAGAGATAATATTGTGCTGTGGAGCTGTCAGCTTGTTTGAAAGGTCATTTGCCCCCTACTGGCCAACAAGTGATAAATAAAGCTTTAATTAAAATAGTTTTTTTTTTTTAAATGTTATAGTATAAACATGTTCATTCAATCAGACAGCAATACCTTGTAGTAACTCCCTTATATGTAATAGGCCTTTACTAAAATCCTACATTTCCTCCGTGTTTTATCAGTTCTCCCAGTTCTTTGTTAGTAAATCAAACACACTCTCCCATGGACTTCTGATTGTTCATGCAAGTTATTCTATGCAGAAAGGTATCGGCAGACTCTCAACTTGTAAAACTGCTAATCTGTCCCATGGTTCTTGAGAAGAAACCGACAGAGATTGAGCCTTTCTGTACCTCTTCAAATCATTAGCAGAAGTAAAACAACGACCATTTCCTCATCAAATTAGGATGCACATTAGCTTTTGTAATGAATACACTACTTTTGAGTCTCCTGTTGAATCAATTTAGTATTTTGTTCTGCATATGAACTCTAAAGAGTCTCTTGCGTTAAACTAGGAGGTTCCTGATGAAATGTAGCGCAACAATTATCATAGCGTGCAATTAACGTGTAGTTAATTCCTCTGCAGTTGACTGCTGTTTCTCTACATGAATTGGAAACTATTATCAGTAATTTACCCATCTAAATGGATTAAAATGACACATACAATATGTATACCACTCCACAAGAGTCACAAGAAATTAAATAATAATAGTTATAGCTGGAAATAATTGGTTTTCTGCATGTCCATGTGTCTTTGTAATTAAATGTATGAATACTCTTGGTTTAGGAGTGGGAGTGGTGAGAGTTTTGCATGTATTTAGTCATAAACTGAAGTATAATGACAATATACAAATACTTAAAAAAAACAATACTCTTAAAGCAAATAAAAAAGTATACAAAAAAAAAAAAGGTTAGGTACAAAACTCAACTTTATAGCAAATACAAATATAAAATGAATGCAAAAATAAACTGAAACTAGAGACATAGAGACTAAGTCAATAATGTTAATGTTAACTATCATGTTAACTCACGTAAAATATACTGAATCACAATTGACATTGACAGTAAACTATTTTAGGGCATGTCAAGTAAATAATCACTAAAAGTTTACAGAAGGTGCAGAATTATCCTTAAACAGAATGATACGGTATGTATAATATATTAATATATGAATAATGTACACTATAAAGATCATTGAGTCTGTCCTTGTTGTACTATAAAGTGAGACAAGGCGTTACTGTCAGTAGAGTCCTCTGTTGTTGGAACTTAAAGATTATAAATCATGTTGCTTGGACTTTTTATGTCTATTTATGTAATTTCACTCAACCACAAATATAAACCTAGATGCTACAGGAAAAAAGCCAGCAGGTCATCAACGGTATGGGATGTAATGTCTCAACACCATGAATATGTGTACACATTTACATGGCTGTGTTCTTCACTGTTTTTTCTTCTCTTGTTTGTTTTTGATTTGTAGTTGTGACTAAGCAGCTCAAAGTCTGTTTTGATAAGTATAATATGCCTTATGAACACCATAAATTGCCTATAAAGGAAGCATAAAAGAAAAGAACATGAAGATAAGAACCAGAATAAGGAAGAAGCACTCATAAAAGCTAATCAAATAGGTGAGAAAAAGATTATAGAATAACAAAAAAGGTTACGTTCAACAACTGAACAACTAAAATAAATTGAACACAAATTGAGACGAGAGACAAAGTCAATATCGGAAAAGGTTTTACAAATATGTTCAGTTATCCTTAAACAGAATTAAATGTACATTTATTATATGTGTATTATAATAAAATGAAATAATGTACACAATACGATATTTATTAGAGATATGATGAATACATGTAATACATAGATTTAGTCCATGTGAGCTTTCTGTCATCGTTGTACTATAAAGTGAGATAAGGCGTTCATTTTCATGGCTGTGTTCTTTACTGTCTTTTCTTCTCTTGTTTGTTTTTGATTTTAGGTTGTGACTAAGCAGCTCAAAGTCTATTTTGATAAGTATAATATGGCTAATGAACACCATACATTGCCAACAGGAAGCAGAAAAAAGTATAAAACTCACAAGTCAGTACGGTGTTGCACAAATCACTCTGACACAGGATTCAAGGTAAGATCAAGGATGACAAACAATGCAAAATAGAGAATTTAAACATGATTGAATTATCATTATTATTATTGCATTAAGTTTCAGCATGTTGTTTTGTTTGTCTTTGTCTTAGATGGCGTTGTATCTTCTACTGCTGATGCTCACAGCCTGTGCTGCCACTCCTCAAGGTGAACATTTAATCTTCATTTAAAAAAGAGAAAACCAAAGTAAAACATCACAAGAAAGATACATGCAAGTGGATCTTGAGTACAGGTGTATTTTTTCATTTTTGTAGATCTCTCCGGTAAAATGTTTACCTTCCCTCAGGAAAGCAACACAGCTTATGTGAAACTGACACCAAACACACTGGATTTCAGAGCTATAACTGTCTGTCTCAGGTAGTGTGCAAAGTGCAAAGCCAATGAACATATATATATAGAGTATAACTGAAAATGAATGTATTAGATTTGTTTTCTTTCAATTCCTGCAGGACCATTACAGACCTCAACAGGAACCACGCTCTTTTCTCTCTGTCTGCAACACCCTCTAATAATGCTTTTGTCATATACAAGCCTACTGCTGATGGGATTCAAATCTATGTCCATGGTCAAGGTGAAACATTTGGGGGAGAGGACTACAAAGTGAACACGTGGCACTCAATATGTTCTACATGGGACTCTGTGACCGGTGTGGCACAGCTGTGGATAGACAACAAGCCCTTCATTAGGAAATATGTTGGTGGAGCAAGAATCACAAATCCTTCTATTATCATTGGACAGGTAAGTTTAATTTATAAGTAAAATAGTTGATAGAATTCCAGAAATGTCTCTTGATTGGTTAAATTCTGATTAATTTATTCTGTGAAGTACTGATTGTAAAACAAAACATTTACTGCATGGAAATGTTTTGTTCACAGCTCACTACAGAAGCACTTTCTATCAAAGGTGTTATCTTATCAGTCTGATCATTTTACAGGAGCAGGATTCCTATGGTGGAGGATTTGACAAAACACAGTCTTTCGTTGGCATGATCTCTGATGTCCACATGTGGGACTACACCCTCTCCGCCTGTGAGATCCAGAAGTACATGCTTGACAGAAATCTAACTCCGGGTAATGTGCTCAATTGGAAGGCGCTGGACTACACAACCTACGGAAGAGTGCTGACAGAACAAAAACCCACTTGCTCATGTACAGAATAAATACAAACAAATATATAAATGTCATACTCCTTACGAGGCTTTTTCTTTTGAGTATGAAATTCAAACACCCTGTAAACCCGAACAGTGGCATTAATCAGCTTGATCAACACAATTACCTAATTTCTGACCACCATCTTAAATGTGTGTGTTTAATTTTCTTATTAAATCTGCAAATTGTTATTTGTAATTAGATGACATTTGTGATATATCCTTTTGTCTGGCATGTTTGCTGAAACATGTATGATGCTCTTCCAGACAGTTCATTAAAAATGGCACATTCTACAGTCCTGTCTCCTGGCCGTCATTCTGACTTAAATCATTTAACAATCTTCATTTCTTTGCATTTATTCAATAGTTTTGACATTTGATTATTATATCATGGTCTTACCAGAATCAATGTTAAAAACAAGGTTTAAGGCCCAGACCTTAAGAGAATGGCTTGTGACTACAACTATTACGTCTAGATATTGATGCTTATTTTGTGGGTTTTTCACCCAACATTTTATAACTCCATTACATTTTTGTTCATAAGCCTTTTTCAAAAAACACATTGATCTCATTCATAAATGCTCATTTCACCTTTTAGGCTACAAGCAAAACCAGAACCTTTTAAAATGTCTGTAGCTGAACAACTGCTGTATAAGCAAAACTGGACAATAAAAACAGAAAACAAATTTAAAAAATGCAGTTATTTGAGAGATCTGTATATTTCTGACAATGTTTAATTGTATCCAGTGTTACTCTCGAGGAAATCATTTCCTGATTTAAACAGTTTGAGGATCCCCCTC